AAGTTATTATTCATATTGGGTTTGCAATATCGGCTCCAGCTCAAATTGCGTCACTTTGTTCCTTGATTTTCGGTGGAGCCTCCTGAGGCAAACAGAATAGTAATTTTTTTTTGTTATATTATTTGGGATTAAAATCAGGCTAGAATGGTTATATCAAACAGTATAATTCTTGGTAACAGACAGGCTAATTCATAGCCAAGTTCGATAACATTATCTATATTTGAGTCAAAAGGCGCTAGAGCTTTGAATTTGATATTGGAAATCATATAGCAAACTGGGTTCGTAGGTGGAAATGAATCTCTTTTAGAAATCTGCACCAGAAGCCCCAAGTTGGCCTATATAATATGGAATTTTTTTACACAAAATGAAAAAGATGAAAATAATGAAAATGGAAATGAAATAATTGTAAAATATATTATTTGTGATGGATAATATTATCTTTCTGAAAAAAATTCTACAACTGCTTTTGAACATTATTTAAAAGTGCAGCATCCTGAAGAATTTATCAATTTACATTAGTTAAAATATGCTAAAAAATTGGAATTATAGTTACCTGAAGAATAAAAGAAAAAACATATATTTTTAGTTAATTGGATAATTATTGATCAACAATTATTCACTCTTATCGAGAATCAAAGCTTCAAAAAATTTATGTTAGAAGTTCAGCCTAGATATAAATTACCATTGCGATTTACTTTAAAAAATATGATAACATTAAAATTTGAAATAGCTCGAGTAGAAATTTGCAATTATCTTCAATTATTAACATCTAAAGTTTCACTCACAATGTATATGTGGACTCAATTACAACATTAGGAATTTTAGCTATAACTATACATTTTATTAATGAAAGTTGGCAATTTGAACATTTTGTTTTAAATGTTTTATATATTCCTTTACCATGATGCATCAGCAATTAAAAATGCATTTTAGAAATAACAAATGAATTACAAGTAGCTGATAAATTAATTGAAATTACAACTCATAATGAAACAAAAATAATTGCAACAACTCGTCAAATTAAAGCAGCCTTGAATTACTAATTCTTCAGCATTATCATTGTATGGCCTATGTATTAAATTTAATTGTTGGAGGAGCATTTAAAACAAATGTAATACCTCTACCTGTTAAAAAATTACATACTTTTATTAATATGATTGGAAATTCTCCTAAACAAATGGATAAGCTAAAGGAATATTTTAGAATTGAAGGTATAGATTTTAAAACACCTCTTCCTGATATCACAATAAGGGGAACTTTACATATTTTATGATTGAGAGATCCTCAGAAATTAAACCTCTTTTAGCACATTTAGTTTCAAGTTGTTTAACTTTAACAAATAATTGGCCAACAGATGAAGAATGGATTATTTTTTAATGATTTTTTTCAACAATTGGTGAAGTGAAATGGCTTTTTTTTTAGGTATCAATAATCATTTAAAAAGAATTCAAGATAATAATAATTTACAATCTCAAGTATATGAAATGAAATGGGTCTTTGATATTTATTTTGATTATGTTAATCAATCATTACATATATATTCCAGCATTTTTTGATCCAAGGTATAAAAAAACAGCTTATGGAAATATGTCTCGAGAAGATATACTTCAGCCAATTAGAACAGCAATGATTAATTATGAAGAATCAGACACCTCTTATATTTCTCAAAATACTATAGTGTCAGATTTACGATATCAACTTATTAAACTATCAACTTCAGAAACACGAGATTACTTTCGAAATTTTTTATGCCAATTTCAAATCAGCAACCAGTTATGAATGAATTAGATATTTACTTCGATTATAATACTTCTGGCGATGAAGTAACCCCATTGGAATGGTGGGAATGGTGGAAAGTTCATGCAACTGAGTATCCATTATTGGCAAAGTTGCGATGCAAAGAATAATTATATTAAATCACGCTTAAAAAATTGATTACTGGTCATATTGAAAAGTTTTAATTAGGCAAAAATAATAATTTAAAATACAAAAAAAAAGATAATACAATAATTTTTTTTTGTTTACCAATTTTATTTATTCTAGTGTAAAAATTATCTACATGTATACAGCTCAAATCAGAGAATACGACGTGACAATTAACTTTTTTGGTATAACTAAAGATCAATAAATCATCATATTATTAATGATGAGCCTTCGCAATTCGAGATGATTAAGTATAATCCAAATGATAAACTAAAATAATTTATGAGATGTATCTTGCTGATTTTGGATTAACCAAACCTATTGATAAATGAAATTTACGGTGTGTTTCCTTATATTATACCTGAAGTTTTGGGTGGAAATCAATACTTTAAAGCTGTTGATACATATTCCTCCTTTGGAATTATAATGTTAGAAATTACGTCTTGCATATTATCTTTTCATCTCACTCATTCCTCATGATTTTAGAATTTGCTATGACTGAATATGTGGAATTTATGAAAAATTGTTTGGATCCTGATCTTAATAGCAGACCAACAACTGGAGTGCTGGTAGAATACTTTTATAAATGGTATGCCAAATATCTTTATAACACAATAGTTTCAGTACAAGAATAGTTAACATTATTTAATTATCTATAAAAATTAAAAATTAAAAATTGATTTTATTTATTATATAAAAATGAACTTGTTATTGAAAATCATCCATTGTCATTGCCCAGGAAAAATCGATTATCCGCAAAAATAAATAATATTTCAGTAAACAGTCATTTTAGCAATCTATTTTTTTTTTTTTTAACACTCAATAATTCCTTTAATTTCAATTAAATTATTTAGAAGTATTCATAATCATTTATTCTAAAATTATTAAAATTAAATTAATAAAATCTAATCGATACGAAAAAGTTTAGTAATATAATTTTTTTTAAATATAATATAATGATTATATGTTCAGTATTTAAAGAAAGGACCGATGTCGTTGCTTAAATAAAATTTAATTGGTCAATCTAAAAATAAGTGAGAGAGCATTTTCATATTAAACCGATTTGATAATTATTATTTAGAATTATGAATAAGTTCTCCCGATCAAAATAAATTATCTTTTAATAGTGATAAAATAATTTAACATAAATAAAGTGAGAACCCCAAAGTGCAAATTCTTTTAGTTTAAATAAAGCGGCTTAAATATTTGTATAAAAATAAAATATAAAATGTTTAAAATCAAATCTCACTCATTTTATCAATTTTAAAAAGATTTATGCAATTTAGTTAATACAATTTCCCATATTAAATCAAAAATTCATTGAGTAAACTTACTTTAATTTAAATAAATAAATTGATGATATACAATCTATATTGTTAAGTTTAACATAAAATAAATAAATAAAATTTTATACTTCTACAATTCACACGTCAATCTAACATACTAAATTTTTTAATAACACCTAATTTAACAAATTTTTCAATCACATTCATATTTTCTTTTTTGAAGTCTAAATTATTCATAGCATGTCTTGTATTGATAGCAAAATTAAGTGATTTTTGTGGTGTACGATCCTTCCAACTTGTAAAAAAGGATTTCAACTCTTTTGGCAATAATTTTGAAAGTGATTTATATGCATAAAATAATGTTAATTTATAGAAAGGTTTAGGTGAATGCTTTGCGACAACTTCCAACAATTCACTTTCATTTAAATAATAATTCCCACATAAAACTTTAATACCTTCTAATAGATGACAATTACTTAAAATTACTATTAACGCTTCCGATTCATTCCTCATAAACGTAGTACATAATAATTTCAGATTTGAACAAAATTTACCAATTGATAAATTTATTGTATTATTATTAATTCCATAATATTCCTCCAAGTTCTTTCCATTATTTTCTAAGAATTTAATGAAATAGTCTTGATTTATATGTTGATGTTTAAATTTTAAAACTCGTAATTGTGGAAAGGTAATATGTTGTAACGTTTTAAAATCTTCGAAAAAATCATTATAATGATATAATACAAGTTCTTGCAAATTTATCGAATTAACGAGAAATAGTAATGATTCATCATAAACCCCATTGATATTTACTTTGGTTAAGGTATTTGAATGTTTGGCTAAAAAGGGAATTATTCTTGTCAAACTTTTACATTTATATGATTGATATATTTTAATACTCTTTAAATTTTGTTGAACAGAAATCAAATCAGTTAATCCATCCGAAATAACAGGTTTAAGAGTGATGCTCAGTAATTCCACATTATGACACATTTGAGATAATTGATAAAAATATTCTGGACAGATATCTGAACAACAGCCAAACGCCGAAAGGTATTTGAAACTATTGATTGCTCCAGGATAAAAGAAAAATAAAAAATTTGGAATAATATTTGATCGAATATTAAGTTTCTTTAAAGAAATTCGGCTCATAAGCATTTTAAATAATTCCTCAATTATTACTACACACTTGATATCTATAAGGATTTGTTGAGCGAGAGGATAATAATTTCTAAGGATATTAGCAATTTTTCTAAAAATTTCATCAATCGAAAGACGTCTAATAAACGATACATAATTAAAGAGTGGTTTCGAGTATGATGGATTCATAATAATTTCATTCTTATATAAAGCTTCTTTTGATTCTTTGGGAAGACAATTAATTAAAGTATTATAATTCCAAACATTTCTCCATAGGATTCCAACAGAAACTTCACTCCAAAGACGATTAACAAGCAAGCACGAATATAAGCTAGTTTTGTCTTCTAATTTCTCAAATATTTCATTCAAACAGTCAGCAGGAAGTTGGCGAGGCATTTATTAAAATTTTTTCATAAAAAAAAAAAGGTACAAATGGAGGAGAAATCATCATGTTTAACGTTGAACAACAATAAATAAATACAATGTTGTTTGTGATTGTGTTACCAAAAGAATTTAAATCAACAAGTATGGCGACGATCATTTTTATCACTTCCGCAACAAATAATGTTTTTAATAACTGGTTTTAAATTATCCGTATTTAATTCCTCAGTTTCCATAATTTTATGTTATAACCAGGGATCTTTTCTTAGGCCGTTCTCAAGCATCCGCTCAGGCTTTACGACCAATTGAAGATATACCAAGAAATCCGGTAAATAATAATTATTTATAATTATATATGAAAGATAAACTCAAAGGTGTTTTTTTTTATAGATCATTATTCGCCATGAAGACTATGATCAAGAAAATGTGATCACTTTTAAATATTGCATTTGGATAGCTATAATTGGTTCTAATATAAAAAGAAGTATAATTATTGACTTGTGTCGGTGCTGAAGATCCATAGTGTAAAATGGAATGGAAGTGAAATAGTATGCGTGAGCAATCTCTTTTTATACTCCTTCAATGATATATTTTGACCAATCAACGCAACTCTCTTAAAAAAAAAAAGATGGTTCGTATCTGGTTTTTTTTTGATTTAAATGATCATCGCACTTGATTTTTTAGCCAATCAGTTCATTCAATAAACCATTGAGGGAGGTGCCTTAGGGCGTTCTCAATCACCTCTCTCAATGTGATTTGCTAGTGATTGAGGTGATGCTCAAGCTTTACCGATCAATTGAAATATAAATGGCGAGCATTGCTTGATCAACCTCTTTTTATCTTTTTATCAATTTCATTTCATTATGAATAAAAAAAAAAAATTACCAAAAATAGCTCGCACCGGCTCTTTTTACTAATTAACAAGTAATTTATCATTCATTGCAACAACAACAACAATATCCTACTACACCTATCATAAAAAGTAGTGTTATGATCAATTTACGATGGTGATGATTCCGTTGAAGGTTAAATGAGAGAGTTTGTTCAAGCGATCTCTTTTATATTCTATCAATGAATTTTTTAGCCAATCACAATCAGATCATTTATAAATTTGTTGAAGGAAACACTTGGGAACGGCCTTAGATTAATTAATCTGTATTTTGGAGATTTTTTTAATCAAGTGAAAGTAACACAAAATAAATATATCAAAATAAAGATAATTTATAAGGAATATAAATATGAATGAATTATAATTTCATATAAATAGGTATTTAGGAAAAATATTATTAAAAACTTTTTTTTTTTTTTTTTTTATAATTGGTCTTGTAAAATAATGCGTAGTAATAATTCTCTGTTTGCTTTTTCTCCAGAGTATATCTAGAGATATTTATATTATTCTAGGTCTTATATTAGAGTTAACGCAATATTAATGTTAAGACGATAATAATGTTTGGAATTATTGTTTTATGGGAATGTAGACTAAGATTTTTATTAATGATGCACGTTAACTTAAATTAGATTCGAAATCATGACTTATTGTTATGTGGCAAATGTATTTTGCACCCTATGTGAGACCAAATTATGAATTATTTAATCAAATCAATAAGCATTTCTTATGATGATTCCAACTAATTATTAATGCATTAGATCTACTTCCATACTTCCATCAAGTCAATTTTATATTAATAAGCTATATAATCAAACTGAAAAATACTTCATAATTTTTATGAACTAGCACAAATTTTGATTAAAATGATGCATGGACCTCATATACTGACTTTATATATCTAGATACTACTCTTCATTGGAGAAAACTTCATGACATTTGCATTGTTTTTATATGTATAAACAAATGCATACAATTGTTATAAGTAAAATATATCAATTTCAAAATGAATAGATAATCATCCAAATAGTTTCAAAACATGTTGTGTAGACGTGTTTGAACAGGTTTCAAGACAACATAGAACCCAAATTGAATTACTATAGCAATCTAACATCTATAAAGATTTAATTTATTTTATTTTATTAAATGGTCATCAACGGTAGCTCAGTCGGTGGTTTTTAACCAACCATAGATCTTAAATTTGAGAAGTTTATCATATTACAAAAGCTTGAATTTTCTATCTAAAAATCTGAAATTGTATTTCTGAAAGAACCATTGTGATTTCTTCTTTTATTATTATATTATACCGTGTCAATAATTAAGTACTTTAAAAACCTTATATATTAATTTGAAATATAGTTCTTATTATACTTTATTTTTTCTTTAAATCTAAAATTGAAATAATTTCACAAGAGTTTATTCATATGTTATTGTGCTTTGCAACTTGCAAAGCACAATAACATATGTAGGATTCGGAATCGAAAGTCGGAAAATTGCCAAAGTCGAAAGTCGGTTGTAAACTCGGCAAAATCGTTTAATAAATGTGAGACAGATTGATTTTCAATTATCCGATTAATCGGCAAAAATTGGTTACACAAAATCGATAGATATGGGCGACAAGCTAAATGACGAAATTGTGAAGCTTTAAAATAATGACGATGATAAAAATTAATTCTTTTTATTATTAGAATTTCTGTATGAAACTTGATGAAGGATTCATTTTTGAGTATAGAATCCTTAATTAAAGTTAAATTTATTTTTAAAAAAATTGTCATGTGACAGCTCACAATTTGTGAAACATAAAAACATTGATTAATTTGTTTTTAACATCTTTAGCTTTATTTTCTAATAAATAAAGATTATAATAAAAATATTGTTTAAATATTGTTTTTTAATGTTTTATTACTTAAAAATTGAAAAAATTAATACAGATTTTGCCGATTTTTGATTTTCAAAACTGGAATCGATCGTTTTAGCAGCCGATTAATCGTTTCAAAAAAAAGTTACGAATTGGACAATAATTTTGATATTTAATCAGTGCAAAGCATAATAACGATATTATCGTGTGATTTTATAATTTGACTTAAAATATTTATTGAGTTTTCAAGTATTAATCTATAGTATATTAAAATTCAACAAAAAAAAAATCAACTCCAAATACTCCAAATCCTTTATTAAATTTGTAAAAATTATTTTCACGGGATCCATAGATATCAATGAATTTCACGGCTGCGCCGTGAAAAATCATAATATTCATGGAAATTCCCATGAAATAACTTTTTTATCTCCTGGATACTAAGGCCGCGTGATTTAAAAAAAGGTTATTTTGCTATAGTTCACCATATTTTAATATGAAAGTATAAAAGTTTATTTGTTACGAAATTAAACTGTTTTCATTATAAAACAACTAACCTTGATTTTTACCCATTATTCTTATCAAAATTTTTAATCTTGGCTAAAAAAAATTGAAAATGCTTCAAAAACGCGTTAATGAAACAGCAAAAATACTTCAAACCTGCTTTTATTAGCAAGTACTCTTCATCTTTCTCACAAAATTTCTGAAGCTTCAATTTCTACTTTACCTAAAATGAAACGATTTCTCCTGATATTTCAAATCAATCAACTTCTGAAATTCAAGATAAACTTATTTTTTATAGGAACAAACTATAGTTAGAAATACTGAAAAGTCAACTTTAAAGTGGGTATAACGAAATCTTTAATAAAACTAATATATTATGAAAAATTTTGACAAACTTTCGTACTAATTAATCGCTAAATTTTGTAATAAGTGTTCTATAAAGTTGTTCCATGTATTATAGATGAGCCTTGAAAATTTATGTGTAACACTTAATTATCTTTGATAAGAGTACAAGCCTCATAGCAAAGGTGAACTAATGACGTATTCAGCATTATATTTTTAAATCATTAAAACTAATACATATAGAATATATTAATTAAATGTGCAAACATATCAGTAGGATTCCTTTTACACAACTCATGACATGACTTCGTTGCTAATTATGTATATATATAATAATAATACTGTTAAAAAATTATTTCTAAATATTATATCATTTTAATGTTAATAAGTTCTATAAAAACTATATAAGCTATAAATTTATAAAAAAAAAACTATTATATATAATTTCAATCAAGGCGTTACTTTACGACACGACTATACATTTAAAGTTTCATATTATAAGTATAAAATACAGTTAAGATTTATGTATAGTCATAAAAATATATTACAATCATTTCTATCCTATTTCTCAAATATCAAATTCTAATGCGTTAGATAAATAACCTATATGTAATAAATGACGAATTAGTTTGTGTTTTATCATATTTAATTATAAATACTTCCTACTTACTATGGCTCTCATTAGGTTTGATTTTTTTATTATTTTTATCTAAAATAATAGATAGTTATAAATTTTTTTAATATAATTCAACGATTAAATAAAAATGTGAACATACCATCATCAATAAAATTTTCTCTATATTTTCTTTTACCTTTTATATTAAACATACATGTTAATTAGTGATTATAATAATGTGAAAAGACTACTACAATATACACATTTACTTACCAAAAATGCTTTGACCTTGTGAACTACTTGTAGACTCTGTATTAGTAATTACGCTGCTTTCATAGTGAGTGACTGGATTATTTGTTACTATGGGTCCAATTTCCGGCGATTTCGTAATTTTAGTTGGATTATCTTCTTCATTCAAATATATTTTATCAATGACATCAAAAATATAACTAGCTGTTGGTCTTTTATTCGGATTAGCATTCCAACATTCTTGCATTATATTAATAAATCCTTCGGGTGCATTTGTAACGATTGGAGGACGAATGCCATCACAAATTTTAATGATGAGATCTGTATCATAATTTTGATCCCAAAATGGTCTTCTACCTGCCATTAACTCCCACATAATTATACCAAAGCTATATATGTCTGAAGCTTTAGTATGACTTCTACATTCAATATTTGAATCATTAATCAACGTTTCGCAAAAGTTTTGCTTTTGAAAAATCTCAGGCGCAATATAAGGAATAATCCCATAACACATATGATCATTATCTAATGATTCAGTTATTAATTTACTAATACCCAAATCACTTATTACAATATCATCTTCATTTTCACAAAGGATATTTCCACTATGAAAATCTCGATGAATAATTCCTCGAATATGAAGATTATTAAGTGCAAAAATAATTTGATGTAATATTTTTAATTTTTGATTCCATTGAATCTTATAAAAATTTTCGAATATATAATGCTTTAAATCATATTTATAACATTTCATAATTATTACGAAATCTTCTGTATCAGGGTTTTGAGTAATGCCATAATATCTATTTAAAAAAAATAATGAAGTCATACAACCTTCATTTAAATTAGCACAATTAATCATTCTAAGCTAAATTTATAAAAAAAAATGATTATATTAATACAAATACATTGAATTACAAATTAAATTAATAGCTATATACCTCATTTAATTCTTTAAAGGTAATGTTTTTAGAATTTTTAAGTTGTTTTAAAGCAACTGTTATATTACTGTCATTATAATCAAAATCTTCTTTTTCTTCATTCCAAATAGGTGGACCATTTTTCCAAATAGCTTTATAAACTTTACTAAATCCACCCTCACCAATTTTTTCAATATTTTTAAATTGCTCATAAGAAATAAATTTTATTCTATTAAATTCTTGAATAAAATTAATTTGTGTATATTTAATAAATTCATCTACAATTTCGTTTCCACTTGGTTTATATAATAATTGAGACTGATAACATATAATGCAAATATTATGATATTTTTTTAAAGGTCTTCTTCTTTTAAAACAATTATTACATCTATTATATATATTATTTTCTGATTCAATTATAAACCTTATTGATATAATTTTATTAACTAAACTTTTAATATAAAAAGCATGTATTCTATTTTTATTTTCTACTAATTTTTGAAACCAATAAATATACTTTTCTAAACTTTTATTTGTTCCATTATCATTTATAAACCTTATAACTAAATTATACATTGCATAAATATTTCCACTTTCTGCAGCTTTTAGATTCCAGTAAATAGCCTTCTCTAAATTTGTTTCTACTCCTATACCATTTTTATAATATATAGATAAATTATTCATTGAACAGGTATTTCCATTTTTTGCAGCATTTTGATACCAATAAATAGTCTTTTTTAAATTTATTTCTATTCCTTTACCATTTTCATAACATCTAGCTAAATTATGCATTGCATCAGTATTTCCATTTTCTGCAGATTTTTGATACCAATAAAAAGCTTTTTTTAAATTCATTTTTATTCTTTTATTATTTTTATAATACATACCTAAATTATACATAGCATTATTTCCATATTTTGTAATATTTTGATACCAGTAAATGGCTTTTTCTAAATACAATGTATAAGTACTTCCATTTTCTGCAGCTTTTTGATACCAATAAAGAGCATTTTCAAAATTTATTTCAATTCCTTCACCATTTTCATAACATAATGCTAAATTGTACATTGTATCAGTATTTCCATTTTCTGCAGCCTTTTGATACCAATAAAATGCTTTTTCTAAATTCATTATTATTTTTTTATTATGTTTATAATATATAGCTAAATTATACATTGCATAATTATTTTTAAAATTAATAGCTTTTTGGTACCAGTAAATTGTTTTTTCTGAATATCTTGTACAGATACTTTCATTTTTTTCAGCTTTTTGATACCAATAAAATGCTTTTTCCAAATTCATTTCTATTCCTTTACCATTTTCATAACAAAATGCTAAATCATTCATTGCCTCAGGTAACCCATCTTTTGCAGCTTTTTGATACCAATAAAATGCTTTTTCTAAATTCATTTCTATTCCTTTACCATTTTCATAACATAAAGCTAATTTGTTTATTGCATTAAGATTTCCAGTTTTTGCAGCTTTTTGATACCAATAAAATGCCTTTTCTAAATTCAATTCTATTTCTTTACCATTTTCATAACATAATGCTAAATTATACATTGCATTAACATTTTCATTTTCTGCAACTTTTTGATACCAATAAATGGTTTTTTCTAAATTTAATTCAATTCCTTTACCATTTTTATAACATAATGCTAAATTATACATTGCAATAGATAATCCATATTTTGCAGCTTTTTGATACCAATAAATAGCTTTTTCTAAATTTAATTCTATTCCTTTACCCTCTTCATAGCATAAAGCTAAATTATGCATTGAAAGAATATCTCCATTTTCTGCAGCTTTTTTATAACATATTGCTAAATTATGAATTAATAAAAGCTCTCCATTTTCTTCAGCTTTTTGATACCAATATATGGCTTTTTCTAAATTTAATTCTATTCCTTTACCATTTTCATAACAAAGTGCTAAATTAAACATTGCATTAACATTTCCATTTTTTGCAGCTTTTTGATACCAATAAAATACCTTTTCTAAATTTATTTCTATTCCTTTACTATTTTTATAACATAATGCTAAATTATTCATTGCATCAGATAATCCATCTTTAGCAGCTTTTTTATACCAATAAATGGCTTTTTCTAAATTTAATTCTATTCCTTTTCCATTTTTATAATAAAATGCTAAATTATACATTGCTTCAGGTAATCCATTTTCTGCACCTTTTTGATACCAATAAATGGCTTTTTCTAAATTCAATTCAGTTCCTATACCATTTTCATAACATAATGCTAAATTATACATTGCATTAACATATCCATTTTCTGCAGCTTTTTGATACCAATAAATGGTTTTTTCTAAATTTAATTCAGTTCCTTTACCATTTTTATAGCATAATGCTAAATTATACATTGCAATAGGTAACACATCCTCTGCTGCTTTTTGATACCAATAAATGGCTTTTTCTAAATTCAATTCTATTCCTTTTCCATTTTCATAACATAATGCTAAATTATACATTGCATTAGGTAACCCATCTTTTGCGGCTTTTTGATACCAATAAATAGCTTTTTCTAAATTCAATTCAGTTCCTGTACCATTTTTATAACATAATGCTAAATTAAACATTGCATTAATATATCCATTTTCTGCAGCTTTTTGATACCAATAAATGGTTTTTTCTAAATTCATTTCAGTTCCTTTACCATTTTTATAGCATAATGCTAAATTATACATTGCAATAGGTAACCCATCTTTTGCTGCTTTTTGATACCAATAAATGGCTTTTTCTAAATTCAATTCTATTCCTTTACCATTTCCATAACAAAGTGCTAAATTAAACATTGCATTAACATTTCCATTTTTTGCAGCTATATGATATTCCATTCTTGTATTTATTTTTGTAAATTCTTATTATGATATAAAAATGACCTCTCACTTTAGTTGACTATTAAAAAACTTTTCCTAATAAAAAAAATAATGAAAATATTTTTTTTTGTTTACTATTGAAATGGGTTATATCGAAATCGAATGAATTATGCAACTTGGAATTCGCAAATTTTTCTTCTTGTACAAATAAAAATTGGTTATTGTAATATACAATACCATGCTTATTTTATATTGTAGCTATGCTTTGTACGCATTACTATGCAGTTATGTATCATGACATGACATTTATATACTTAGTTTTAATTCGCATCTAGGTAGGACTATACTTTACCTTTTTTGCTAAGATGATGATGATCTTAATCTTTTCGTCATGAGCGTTTGCATTTTTTACGAAGAATTAAATTGAAAATAAATATGTATAGCGTAGCGAATCATAATGCTTGATTTGAAATTTTGCTCATGTGCAAGCAGGATGAAATCTATTAATTAAAAGGTTTTGAAATTTGCGTATTAAATATATGTGGTCAGTTGAATAGAAGTGAGAACTTGAAAAGAAATTTTTTAATATTAAATCTGGACTTTTTATTACCAAAAATTCATAAATAGCATATATTCTAATTTTTTTTTTGTATTTTCCTCCCTTTCTACTACAAAACTTCTATATGAATAAGATTAAATTAATCGTAAAGCAATTTTACCTAAGAAAATAAAAATACACAAATACTGTTCTTTTAATTCCGTAAATTAATTTAAATTGATTATTTATTATTTTATTTATTTTTATATTTTCATTTCGGGTGGTTTTTTAAGTGAACTAACTTTTTTATATCACGTGAACGAAAGTGATGATATAATTTTCTCATTTTCTAAAGAATTAATTTATTTCATGAAAATAAATTTTATTATGAGCAATGAAATGAAGAAATACAAATTGACCTAGACATTTACTTGCGAAGCCTCGCTTTGCTCTACATGTCAAGAAGATAAAAAATTAAATGATGGTAGAAAATGACATTTGTCATAAATTTAAAACAAATCAATTCCTGATAAATCCTCACAGCTAATTTTGTGAACGTAATTTTATTGTGATTGACCAAACGTAGTCTAGTATAACTTTAACCATTGAAAGGAATTTCTCTTGATAAAGGTGGTAATCCCAGATCCATCTTGCAAAGAACCTAATCGGCATAATGGTATAAGAAATTAGATGATAGAACAATATAGTTCGTTTCATCTTACCTATATATATTTAGGTGGATAATAAACATACGGCTTATTTATATTTTATCAAAAAAAATTTAAAGTATTCAAAACAATTTGTATTTCATTCAAAAATGTAGATTTTTTTTTTAATCACATTTAATTTTTTAATTTTAAATGTAAACAAAAATAAGTATTTGTCAAATTTTTTTTTTAATTCAAAAAATCATTATTTTAAATATAACAAATAATAATTTAAAAAATTTAAAAAAGCTAAAAAGGATAAAAATAAAAAAAAAATTTTATATGCATGCCAACCAATCTGTCTTTATTAAGATCGCAAAGATTTATACAAATACTAAAAAAAAAAAATTATCCGCATATTTTAATCTTCTAATAAATAAATTACTGCTTCATAAAATTTATATAAAATTTGAATTTATTATAATTCATTACATAATACTATAATAAATTTTGCCAACCTTAGATATATAAATTTATGACTGATCAATTTCAAAGAAAATCATTCAAGATTTTTTAAAATAATATCGTCACCAGTAAATTTGAATCAAAGGTTTGACGGTAAATTATAGTAGAAACACACAGCAAGAATAGTTCAAAAACTTCGAATTTTTTTTTGATAACGAACGATAATTCATACACTCATACACGCATATAAAGGTACATTTTAAAAATAACAAAATCATCAGCCATCAAAATTACGATTCCAAGAAAAATGCTTTGAAATTTCGTATGACTAGGATAATAAGTATTAAATCTAGGCTACACCATAATACACGATTAACCCAGAGAATGATCTAACCCACATTATCTCTAGCACCTTATTCCTTCACTAATGTTACGCATATGCAGGAACGAGCCGGCTCAAATTTTATAGTATTCTTAAAGAATGCTTCCAAAGCATTTCTTTCGATGAAAAACGATCCGGAAACGTTCCTCATTAAGGATTGTGCTCTGCAAGCGAATCCGCTCTCTAAGAGATTAAGGTTGACTGAGGTTTCGAAAGATGGTAAATCGAAATTAGTTTAGAGTTTCACCAAAAATTTTTTAAAGGTTAAAAACCGTAAAAGTTTCGACGTAATGACGGGTGGTAACAATTTATAGTATTTATTGTCTCGATGGGTGTTATTAATCCTTTTAATAATAATTTTCTATTGCCCTCAAGATACAATTACCTTAATACAACCTTTTGGAAATGCGGAAACTCAATATTAAACATTAAATTTAAAAAATCGATTGCCATCACATGATCGACATCAATTTCAATAATTTCGAAAACGCCAATAAATCGAACTCGTGAATCAAAAATCGTCAAAGTTGGGAAAGCCTCGAAATTATTTTCAAAAAGTTTCGATTTGCCAAAATGGAATTATAGTTTTTCCCCGCAATCTTAGAAGAGATGTTCCCCTAGAATTTGAAATTCTTTCCTCACTGGATTGTCTAAATGCATGGTAAGTTTTTTTTTTTTTTATTCAAATTTAAAATATAAACTAACAATCCAGCAGAAGATAAGAAAAATTGAACACTATTATTATTATTTTTTAAACCAATATTGATAAAAAAAAAAAATAATGTATTATAGGCCAGCTTGACCGAACAGGCTCGTAAAGCTCGCGAGTTATGCGGAGCTTTATCCGCCATACGATTATAAAAACCTTACTCTGGCGGTGACCCCTTCCTATCCGTACGAAATGCCAACCCGAACTTTACATCATTCCAATGAGCCGAAATGGTAGATACCGTAAAATTAACCTTCTTATGTTTCAGATATATTTCCGATATCATACATAAAAGGAGAGGCATTGGAGTAGAGGGAATAGAAGGTATAGAAATAGGTTAGTTTAAAAGGATAAAGTGAATATATTTAGCAAAAATGAGAGAAGGTGGGAAAACAAAACAACCGCGATGCAGATCGCATGAGGATAGTTAAAATAAAGTTTCATTTAAAAACTAAATTAATGACATAAAATATAAGGAGATGAATAAAAAGGAAAATCTAATTCACATTACGTTTAATATATACTTCAATGAGCAATCTCAATATGTTTAAAACTTTGTGTGCTACTCTTATTAGTTTATAATTATATAATATTCAACAAAAAAATTTTCCGGTCTTAGTCACCAAAGAGCTACACTATGAACATCCAATAATTAATTTTGTAAAATGAAAAAGTTAATTTATAGAAGATAATATGTTTAGATATTGTTTCATGAACGAACAATCTTATTTTTTTTATTCTAATTTTTTAAATTACAAATTATGAAATTGTCGCAGAATCCCTCCTTACAATCAATTATAATCAAGAAATTACACTCCATATTTATATAACAAATAAATATTGATATTTGTTTTGAATGAGCCGGAATTTTTTTTAAGAGCGGGAGAACCATTTAAAGAATTATTTGTTTATATTAATGGGGAATTAAATGACATCAAAAAATAAAGTTTTTTTAAAGTCACGCGCTTCCGATCTACAACGTCGTTTCGAAAATCGATGGCAAGAATTATACCGATTTTTATTTTTTTAGATCTATATTAGCAACAAATTAATGTTTCAAAATTAATATACAATCAGGGGGGGTTTTTTTGACATTGACGGAAAAATCAATTGAAATGGAAATTTTAACTGCAAAGTTAATGATTCGTTATCAGAATTATAATCCTGCATCAACTGCAAAATCAGGCAAATAAATCTACCATAAATAGCAAAAAAAAAAAATACCAACCGACACAAGTCACGAAAACCAATATCTTTTTTTCCCTTGCGACAATGTTTTTCATTATATAATTACCATTTAAGAACGCATGATTGCACACGTTAAATTTGGTAATACGAGTGACTATACTATACTCGGCCGTTACTTTTCAGTCGATCAATTTTTCTGCTGCGGCAAGCGTGTGAGGTATAAACCTTTTGCCGACAATCACTAATAATAATATTATGACCAAAAGCAAGATTCTCACGCATTGCGTAATAAATAATCACTTCGAATTTTCTTTTATTTCCTACGCCACCACAAATGAATAAAAATGTAAAGTGTTCATAAGCTGATTTTTATTTCTCCCATAAAAGTTATCTAAATTCAAATATTAATCGAATTATTAAAGATTTTGATACCAAACAAATAATTGTATCACAAAATAAAAAAGGAGGATTGTAAACATATTCTGAAGTTTTTTTTAAATCTGGTAACAATTTGTAGATATAAATTTGAAACAAACTTAGTAATTTTACTTTATTTTGATTTTTATTTTGATTTTACATGATTGTACAAATTTGAATCCTTGTATTGTATGTATTAGTCGTTTAACAAATAATCCTCCTTAGCACAACAAAATATATGCACGAGATTGAAGACAAAATAAACATACCTGAAAAAATTAATCGAAAAAAGGTTCATGTTACACACGGAACTATTAAAATTTTGTAAGACACTAGATATAGAAGCACCAGAATAAAACTTATGGGTGCACCACATAAGTTATATTTGTAAACAAACGTTTTAATTTGATAACTTTCATTAAACGATAATACTGTATTTATACAACCAATAAAGTTTATTAGACTATATAAGAAAGTTGTATACTTTTTTCAATCGGATTTTAGAATAAACACAAATTATCTATTTATTTGTATTTATTTTTCAGTGAATTTATTATCAGTTAAAATTTGAATGTTTGGTTTCGTTAAAGAATCAAAGAAAACCATTTTTTTTTTTTTTTTTTTTTTTTTTTTTAGGAGTTTGGAATAACTTACATTCGACTACAATCCTTTGTTATTATTATTATTATTATTTTGTTCGTTCATGATAGGAAAAGTCTTTTAATAAATGAATTCCATCTGAAAAAAAGTCAGGAGATTTCTCCTTATGAGTTGTAGAAGCAATCCATTCAAGTTTAAATATTGCACGTTGGTGAATTTTCTTATTAGTTATCTAGTAAATACCATTGATCGTTCACAAAAAAAAAAAAAATTTGTTCTATAATTTCTCGCTACAGTGTAGCGAAAATTAAACCTTAATACACCAATCCCTGTTCTCCTCCAATAAACACATGAGACTAAACACGCCCTTCTCAATAGTCTGTAAAACTGAAATTTCTCCTACTCCTTCCACTACACAAATTCTATGTTCCTGCGATTTTCGAATAAATATTTATGATTGTCCAGAATCATCAATTTTAGTAATTTCACATTGGGTTTTATTTCCATATTGCGCTCTACTGAGTGCAACTGCAGCTGCATGTTTATGGCATTTGCTTAAAAAGAAAAATCAACCATTCTTTTTTACTTCGAGAAGAGATAGGGGAAAGTTGAGACCTAGACCACAACATACTTATTTTACGATAGCCTTGATTTATTGTCCATGTAAGGATGCGAAGCAGAATAATATGAACGAAAGGACTGTTTTTTTCTTTATGTTATTAAATGAAATAATTTGTTTTGCTCTTGTAGGTCAGATGCTTCACTCGATATTATTATTAACGAATTCTTATCCGAACATACTTTGGGCAGAAATTGGTCATTCACTGCCTTCTACACTATCAGCGACAATAGCAGTATTATATCCATTGAGTATATGTAAGTATGACACCTCATGCATTTCTTGCCTCCTTGACCCTAATCAACGCTAAGAATTCTCTCATCGCGATTATTCAGTTTATTCGACATCAGCTTTTGAAGTAACAAATTTCACATCACGTCCAATATCGACGTCAAGTGCAATATCAGAGATACCCATAGCGAGACACGCCGTAAGGATCGACATCGTTTGTATTCTTGCCTTTATAACAACGCTTGGCGTTTTTTTAACGGTGCCCGCATTAACAGGTTATTACGCTGATATGAGCGATTTTATAAATGCGAACAAATTTCTTAAGATACAGTATATCGCGTGGTTTATTTGGGTATCTTTGTATGTTGCAGCAATGATATGGTTTTGGTCCAGATTTCTTAATATTATTGGTGAAATGACTAATCAGAATCAAACTCAAAATCCCGGGTTACAAATCAAACTTGACCAATTGAGAAGAGGTTCGCGTAATGTATATATCGTATCATTTTGTTAGTTTCTTCTTTTTGTTCATTTTATCCTTTTTACTAAATGTGTTTGTTAATCAACTATAGTTATCATTACCGGTATATGGACAAATTTTAACAGGATTTATATATTTACCAGCATTCTTGGCTTACGTGTTATATCATCGTTCAACTACAATGTTTAATTATAAAATTAATTTGATATTTTTGAGTTTATGGAACTTTTTGATACCAATCATATTACACATAACACAATGGATAATGATTTATAATATTTACAAATCCATTACCGCCTCACAAAATATTCCAAAGAAATTATCTACAAGAAACTTTAATAATAATAATAATTCACGCGCAGGGGGTGAACCAAATACGAACGAAAGTACGATTTATCAGGTTAATGAAGGAAGGAATATTAAAAAAGAGAAAAGGATAACTATGACTAGTGCTAGCGAAGGAAAAATGAACGTTGATGACATAGAACTATCGGAATTTATTCGAACTCCAATAGACAAAGCAATTGATGAAGAGGAAATTTATGATATTGAGATTAGTGAAGTTGGCATTCCAAGAGGAGAGGATTTTATGATTGATTCTGGCCATTGCAGTTCAGGAATGGTTTTAAATAGAGATTCAGGGAGAGTCAGTATCTCGAGTAATAGTTTTACTAAAAAGTGTAAATCGGATTCATTTTTAAACACTCTGCATGAAAATGGTATAATCGGTATGAGCAATAGATATTCGGGTCAGACAATTCATTCGGAAACCTTGACGTTAAACAATAATGGGTCGACAAGTAACATCATCAACAATATTATTCCAATCACTCCTACCAACACTAATTCCAACATTTCGTCATCTTCGACGTCGTTACCATATCCGATTGGGAGAATGAGTATTAATAGTAATAGAACTAGTAATGAAATAGTAAGCGCTAATGACAACATTCTTAGTAGTGCTCAAAGAATGGAATGGTTGGATCAGCGACCTGTTTCTCTTAATTGTTCCAATAGATAATTTTTTGATTTGTTAGTTATTTTCTGATAGTATGAAATTAAGTTATGTTTAGTTTAAGTAAGAAAGTTGTTAAAAAAAAGTAATTAAAATTTGCAAGTTTACGATCACCGTAGTCACGTGTACTCTCGACGTGATGAATTCTTAATTTGGTTATGTCATAAATCAACGTAGAACCTACAAAAAAAAAGTTTACATATTACACTTTTTCGATTCTTTAATGGATTTAGCAGCTGAATACCTTTACTATGAGAAATGTGCTAGGTGTCAAATAGATATTTATATAAATAATTTTTTATCATCGGATTTATTTAATACAATGAATCTTCGGATTTTTATGTGCTTAACTTAATTAGCCTGACCCAATACTAATAAAACACAAATAAAAGAATTATACTCATAAAAATATAGTCTAAAAATTGCAAAATATAAATACAAAATTTTTGGCACACTTTCCGAATCCTTTTCCGATTTTTTTTTGATGACCCGACATTTTCCGGACATTGCTGCAATATCGTATGATAAGATACTGTAAATAAGATATAAATTAAATATAATATGAAGTAAATATTAAAGACATTATTCTTAAAACTTTTGATTTTTAAACTAATTGAGAATCCCTTCAATTAATCTCAAATTGGACTTCAAATTCTCAATTTCCTGAATTAACTTCGCAACATCTACTTGATCTTTTCTTTCTGCATCATCTGACTTCCCGAACTCTACCCTACTTTCTCTTACTACATCAGTTGCAGGGATTATTTCGGTAAGTCTTCCCTTTTTATCATTCTTATTTTTATTATTTTCAAATTGCCAAATTGAATATTCATCATAAGTTGATCTTTTAAAAGCATTTGTAATAAGTGTTGGTGGCTCTTCAAAATCCTTATAAATAGCACCTTGATCTTCTTTTCTACTTTTATGCCAATTTTCAAAGTTTATAGACTGACCGATATAATAAATATATTTTGGATCTAATTCATGAGGACAAAGATGATTGTGACATAAAGCTTCATAATCTGCTATTTGATTTGCTCTATACCTTAATAAAGCTTGTCTGCCTTTAGTTACTGCTTCTTCATAAACACCACTAAAGTCGACAGGATTAAAAAAATCATGTTAAATTAATTATATTCACAAATTTATAAAAAATTTATATAATTGAAAAAAACCTACCCCATGAAAGCAATCAACACATTTTGTAAAATAATTACAATAAATATGCTAGCCATATAAGTAAATACTTTGACAACCCAAGAATCAAACAGATTCCTTTGAATAAAATCACCATTAATCCAAAAATATGCAGTTTCTATTGAAGTTGAAAAGGATGAAAACGGATTGTCATTCCGATTGGTAAAATTAAAATCTGATCTGAGGTTAATTTCTAATTTATCGTTTGTTGTATCATTTATGCCATATCCACTAATAGTAGAATCTTTGGTTTGGATTCCTGCTAGTTCTGGATCTTTAAGCAATAGAAACCTATACATGATTAAATCAAAATGTTAATCAAAATATTTTAAAATAATACCAAACAAATAAGAAATCCTCATACATTGTATGTGCAAACGCAATAATTACAATAAATGTAAAGATAAGAAAAGGAAGTACGGATTGGATAATTATAATAACATAATAAATATAAGTAGCAATTCCTGTGAATCAAAAAAAAAAAATAAGTTTATTGAAGATTTATTTTTGCAAATAAAAATATTTTTATTTTTTATAATCTTTATTATTTTTGTACTTACTTGATATTATAAAATCTAGAATAAAACGAAATACAATTTAATAATTTGATCAATAAATCAATATTTTTAGTGAATTTTTGAAAAACTTACAATTTCAATCCACATAATTAACATTGAGAAAGATATTCCCACAACTATGTGAGTGTTTACGTTCTTTACACTTTCAAAGCCATTGGAAAAATGAAATGTTTCAACAAGTATTATTGTGATCACAATTACTAGTAATAAAACTGAAATTAAATCAAAACCATCATGTATAGAACAAAAGTAACGTCTATACCCTCGATATCGTAATTGTATTGCTTCGGTGACTAATAGATGAATTGCTAAAAAATAGAATAAGACAACTGACGTAGCCAAATATTCACTATCAATCTTTTTGCTCATATATTCCAAACTTATATATCTAAAACACAGTCCGAAACAAAGAAATCGAAGAAAATGAATGAAGATATAATTTTTGGCCTTTTTCCAACGAAAATCAATAACTGCTTCAATTGCTGGATTATTAAACATATCATCACAATTTTCATATTGTACAACTCTTGAAAACGGACTTAATAATTTTTTTTTCATTTCGGTTAATTTTATACATTCGCGGTACGATCAAAAACCAAAGAGTGTTTAAAATAATTTTCCAGATGGCATACTCTGCTTCTTTCTTCTTAATTTTATTCACAGTAAAGTCAGGAAGTGGCACAACTCGTAAAGCTAACGGCGGTTTCCCATGATCATTATCAAAGTTTTCAAACCATCCAGCGATATTGTTTTTAATCCTATTAGTATAATTATATAGAGCAGCAATCTCTTTAGATGACTGCAAATCGACATTAGGTCTAAATGCTCTGAATTTGGCATCATTATTTCGCCTTGCCAAATATTCTTCTGGAATGATTTCATAAGGATCTTGTGCTAAAAAATAATTCTGATTCGCAAAACAATCTTTATGAAATAACCTTCTAGCATAATTATCTGTTATAAATAAATTAATAAATTAACATCAAGCAACTAATTTATTAATAATATAAAGCAAAAAATGTAAAACAAACCATAATTATATTTGTATAATAAATGAAGTGCCTTAGAAACCGTAACCATCCAACCAACATGATCTTTAGCATGGCTTGAATAATATTCCAAAAGATAAGCAACGACGATCGTATCTTTTTGTTCATGGTCTATCAATTGTTATAATTTAATATAATATTTATGCAATAATCTTAATAAGATTCAAAGTGGTCAACTAACCTCTGCAATGATAAATTGCTAATTCCAAATCATTTCCTGGCACTATCTTCTCGTGATCTTCTATTTCTTTATTTCTGTTAAAAGGATTAATATCATCATCCCTTATATATTTATGCTTTTTCTGCCAAGACATGCTTCTTGGAATATGTTTGACTTGAAAATTTTCTTTTGACTTCTTTTTCTCATCATTTGAATTTTTTCCAAAAAGAATAAACTTAATTAATTGATCGCAATCACCAAGGATTAAATTTTTCATAACGTTATGTCGAACATCAAGTAATCTATATTGATCTGGCTTATGTATGATATATCTCCAGATTACATGATTAATATACATAACCATTTCCTCATACTTTTTTAATAAGAAGAAAATTTAAGTATAAGTAATATTACTTTTTTTAAAAAAAATAAAATTAAAATGCCTAACACACTTACTTTATATACTTTATCGAAATTTACAAAAGACTTTATAGATTTGGCACGCTTATTAAGGTGTTCTAATGCTTTACATGCGTATCTTACTCCATTCATATTTTCATTAATATCATTCCACTCTATCATTCTTTTTTTCAACACTTTTCCCTTAATTTATTTCATTGCTTTCATATTCTCTTCCACGTTAATCTCATCGACTTCCTCACTTGAATTATTTTCATACCAGTAAATTTCCAAATAAAAATATTTCGGTCCGAATAGATGCTTGTTAATTCTCAATCTATTTTCTTTACTTTCTTGATCTATTGGAATTCCATTTGTCCAAATCAATTCAAGAAATGGTTTTCCTTCATTGGGAAGTTTATCTTTTTCTTTATCTTTATCTTTTGGATTTGAAAGGAATTTATGCCAGATTTGAACGGTAGTTCTTCCAATTATTAATTGTAAAACCTCTACTTCATCATTATAAAGGCAAAAGGATGTTTTGTCATAATTATCCATTACCCAAGGTTCTATTTCATTAATTAATGGCTTGAACTTCGATTCATCATAATCCTCATAAAAAAATACAGTATGCTTTTCCTGCAAAAATTCTTCCTTCTTAAGTATGGGATTTTTTTCAATTTCTGCAGTGTATTCTACGAAAATTCGATCATCTTTTTCATTCTCTGTCTCCTTTCTTAATTCATTATCAATCATCTTAAGAATTGAAGTAACATTTCCTTTATAATCAACCTGCAAAATGTTTCCTGAAGTTCTAGCCAAGTGAGTATTTTTGCACAATGGAAATGTTTTAATCATATCAGAATTATACAAATCCCAGATAATAATTTTTTGATTTTTTTCTTCATCGCTGCAAACTAAAAGTAATTTCTCATCACCGTCAATGAATTCAATTAAATGTATTTTTCTAATTTCCTCAAATAATTTATATGAAATCTCCAAACCGCTCCCCATAAAATATATCCTGATAAAGGTTGAAAAAATTAATTCATTAAAAAAGGATCACGTGATCAAACACACACATCTACTTACATAATAGATTGACCTCTAACAAAACATAGTTGCAATTTTTGATTATCAATTGAATAAGAATACTTGCCGTACTTTCTTATGTGTTTCGTCATACTTTCGGATCTCTTGATGTTGCTTTCTAATTTCATATTTACCAGGTTAAAAACTACAATAAAGATTTGTTAATATACATTTAGTAAATATGTCGAATAGTTTTTTTATTTACCTTCAAGAAATTGTATGTTGTTTTTATAATATTCAACCAAAAGGTATTTGTCATAGATGCATGAAAGGAGACGATCCATGCAATCCGGTACACCTTCATCTGCATACCAATCCTTTAATTCTTCTTCGAAGATCTTTGGATAGCAAAATCTCTCATTATTATTAAAACATTTACTGCCAACACTATATTCAAAGTTATATATCCCATTAATATTCATAACAATGAGCCTTTTCAAGATATAATCATCATTTTCTTCCGATTTATCATCTTCTACAAATCTACAAATTCCCGACAAATTTTTCAAATGATAAACATAAATTAAATGAATACAATAAAGTTGAGTTTATTCAAGACAATAAATTGCAGTTCTTTTATCAGGAACAGTAATAATATTTCCTTTCGGTGTGTCATAGCTAATTTTATTCATTTGCATTTCCACGTTAATTTTCTTATATTCCATATCTGTCTTATCTTTCTTTTTCATATCATTCGCAACGTCTATGTGGGACACTGCAACAAAAATAAAATTTTCAATATGATAATTTATTTTGCTCGATATATCTAATGACCATCTAAATTGATCGTTGTCCTCTACTGTAATTGTATCTGATTGGTCTAGGATTTTTCCGAATTCTTTAAAAGTTAAATCATCATTTATTTTAAGAGAAGTTATAGTTTTATTGACTACTTCGGTTTCATTTTGTTCTAAGTCGTCTTGAGATTTATGTATTTTCTTTATTTTGTTGCGATAATCTGTATTTTCGACAACTTTAACCACACGATTTACTAATATTGAGTATATTCATGATAAATAATAAAAGGGAAAAAAAATGGAGGATTTAATTTTGAATGATTTGTCATTAAAAAAATACAAAACCACTTTAATGCTTATTAAGAAATTACCATAGTCGAACGTAACAGCGTATTTTCCATCTCGACTGATCGCGATTTGATGTTTATTTTTAAAAACTGATGTGTCATTACTCTTTTGTATTTTGCGCTTTAATATTAAGTAAATATATAGCACATTTCTGAGTAAATTTATTTTATTTTTGGTGGTAATTACTGTTTCCATTTTCGTTTATTTTAGTTATTTTTTTTTTTGTTTTGAAAAATTCGCCTTTTTTTATAATTATTTTTTTTCAATATAATAGTAGTACAAAATGAATCATTTATCATTTCGGCCTGAATTATGAATAATGCGGGTCAGATTTGTATTTTAACTGGATATAGAACAATCCTATTTATACTTGTAGCAAAGGCTAAATTTGTGCTAGATCGACAATGGTAAATCATTTTTTAAATGGAGGTTGAATTTTAGAAAACGATTACTCAAATTTAACAACTATATCCTTTCTGGGGCTTTATTTCAATAACTTAGAAATATTTCCGAAATTCAAATTTATTTTTTTGTTATTTTAGTATTGTCAAGTATACATTGTTATTTTGACTTTGTTTATTTGTATTAGCTTCTTTTGTAAGTTTCCTTCATCAATGTTCTTTTGAACGACTTTTTATATCAAAGGTTGATTGAATCAGTTTCACTGCATAAATCTGATAAGATACATTCTAACTTTTTCCATCTTATTAGCCCATATATTAACTGTCTAATTCAAATGAATGTATCGATTGCATTGATCACTGATAGTATTACCTAAATTTAAAAATAAAATTTGTTTTATGAAATTCACTTGACAGATTGAAATCGATTCTACGTAAATCGATTAAATCAATCTATTTTTAGTGACGCAGTAAGCCAGCTAATAAGAATAGGAAGGCGTTCCCGCTATCACAATAGAAAGTTCTTCAACAATTCATTTTATTATCAAGAAAAAAAATTTTGAAAAACCAAAAAACATAACTATTCCTTCGCAAGAAATCCAATCAAAATGTGAATGAATCTATTAAGTAAAAAAAATCAGGAAAAAACAAGAATCATTTCATTTCACAATATGACCACTAAATAAACAATGATAAAAAAAGGAAAAAAAAAAAAACTTACACCTATTCTTTTCGAACCTTAAGAAAAAGATAACAATTTTAATTGCTGTAACCAGCGATCGAATCCGAAATGAAGAAAAAAATTTTTAAAAAAAAGTAAACTAAAAAATACACGCATCCTAATTATTGTCGTTTTGGTTGATGTCGATCATTGTGATACAAAAAAACAATACAAACACAAATGATCGATATTCACGTGACATTAACCAATCAAAATGCGTTCCTATTTTTTCTCTATATGTTTATCTAAAAATTACATTATTTAATTAAATTATAGTATACTTATTTATTTTAATGTATTAAAAAATTAAAATAAAATAATAAATAAAAAATAAAAATAAAAATAAAAAGAACTATATTTTATTTAAATATTCAAATTTTAATGTAAATTTTAAGTATAAAATATTTTATTACATTAATTCCTATTACCTAGATTCAAAATAAATCTATATAAATTGAAATCTTTAAAATTAAAAAATATATAAATATTTAATTATTAGTAAATTATTAAAAAAAATTTTCATATATTGATAATTTTGATAATTTTTACCTATATAAATTAGATCATTAATATCTTAAGATTTTATTATTTTTAAATAAATTTATAAAAAATATAAAGATTCAGAATTTAAAGTTGAAATAAAAATTTTAAGAATATAAGAATAAGAATCAAAAAATTAAAAAAATATGATAAGATAAAGATTATAAATTATAATAAGTAGTCTGCAAAAAAATAAATAAATTAGTAACTGATATTTTTAAAATATAATTTAATATTGTTTTTTTTTAATAATACTTATTTTCAAATAATTGTAATCTAAAAAGATCTATAAAAAAGTAAGTAATTGTAATTAGTTTATTATTTTAAAAAATTAAAATATAATATAAATAAAAAATACAGTGAACCTCTCTAAATACACTCTTTCTAAATACACGCATATATTTTTTTCTATAAATGCACATTCCACACAGCCCTAAGTATATAAAGATCATACAAAATTTCTCTCTTTAAATGCACATCCTTCTTAAATACACATTTTTTCAAATTTTTACTATGATCTCAAGGAGATTGCATTTAAAGAGATCTTACTGTATATCTAAATATATATAATATAAAGATTTCAGTGGATTATAAGAAAGTAAATTTAGTTAATATAGTTGAATTTCACTATAATAAATTTGTATATTCTGAATTTTTTGTTATTATAATATTTCTGAATTTTATTAATAAAATAATTAAATATAACAAATTTTATAATAAAACTTATTATTATGTATAACGAATTGAAAATTCTATCCCTTCAATATTTTTCCTTAAATTTAGAAGTTAATTTTAAATATATTAAAAATTAGTTATTAAACCAATAATATTTTCATAATAAATTTATGATATTTTTTAAGTAAAATCAAAAAAAATTAATTATATTAATTAGTAATTTTTGCATTAATTTAAGATCAAAGTTTTGAAATTTTTTTAATAAAAGTATTTTCTTTAAAAAACTAAAGTTTTTTTATTAATTTTTATATTATTAAAAAAAACTTTACATAATAAATAAATTTATATTAAAACATTTATTTATATATTTAATATTATTTATTTATAAAAAAATCATAAATTTAAAATTAAACATTTTGTATATATTTAATATTTTTAATTATTAAAAATGAAATTTTAAATAGATTTATAATAAATTTTATAATATATTTTAATTAAAAAAAGTATAATAAATAGAACTTTTGTTAATGAAGTTTTTATATAATAAATTTTTATATTAAATTTAAGGAATTTTTTTTCTTGTATTACTATTAAAGGAAATGTTATATTATAAATTATAATAAAGTATAAATTAATAATTTAAATATTCGCAAGTAGGGTTCCTCAAAATCGAATTGATCAAATATTTAAGCAATTTGAATTTGATTTGATTTTTTCAAATCAAATCGAATTGAATCGAATTGAACTCAAATAT